ATTGAAGAATTACTTGAGGTCAACAATGTCACAAGAAAGATCGAATGGGTTAATTATTTTATATATTGAGAAAAATATGTTGGAAAGCATTGATGTTGACACTATCATTAATGATTTTACATCCAGAAATGCTCGAAGGTAATATTTTTTTTATAAGTATTTATATGCTTAAATATGTTTTTAATATTTTTGATATGGTAATGAATTAATATTTATTTAATTTAATAAAAAAATAATTAAAATTTTATATTACATAGTTTTTAATATTCTTTTAAATTAGGGTATTTTTTTAATTTTACGGCCAAGAAAAAGTCTGGACGGCCCTGCCAAGCAATACAACTTGGAATCAAGAATGGTAGTTGGAAACTTTTTCAGACAAGTAAAGCTAGCCCTGGTATGTCTCATTTATTTTTTTGCAGACGATTTGATTCTCTTTGCAGAGGTTTCAATTGAACAACTTCATGTTATCCATACTATTCTGGATCGATTTTGAGAGGTATCGGGGCATAAGATCAGTTTGGCAAAGTCTACTATTTTCTCCTCTAAGAACGTTCCTATGAATATTCAGAACAACATCAGTGGGGCTTTTGGTTTCACCAGAGTTGATGATCCTGGTAGATATCTGGAAGTCCTTTGTTGCATTCTGGGGTTAGTTCTGTTTCTTATCGTTACCAGTGCAAATGGTCCAAAATAGGTTGAGTGGTTGGAAGGCGAAGACTTTCTCCACTGCGGGGCGGAAAACCCTCGCGAAAACAGTTCTGTCAGCCATACCTACATATACTACGCAGACGACGGTTCTCCCGAAAAAATATTTGTTGAGAGTTGGAACGCCAAATTAGATCCTTCGTCTGGGGTAGAGAATCTGGAAACGGAGGCATCCCGTTAGTACGTTGGGAGCATGTTTGTCAACCGGTGGACTATGATGGGCTTGAATTTCGGAATCTTGCTAATCAAAATGGGGCTTTCCTTATTAAGTTAGCTTTCAATATGATCACGAAGAAGGATGCGTTATGGGTCCGAGTTCTTCGAGCCATGTACAAATGGCACGATGAGATTCCGACGATGCTCCGCAATCAAAATTGCTCGAGACTTTGGGAAGGCTTGAGTATTGTGTGGCATGATGTCTTCAACCTCACTCGCGTCGTGGGTTATGGGCATGAGGTGGATTTTTGGAGGGACAAATGGATTCCTGACTTGGATCCATTAATCACATATAAGCATGAAGTGAGGTGGTGTACAAGCAATTCGATAGCTAGTATGGTCGATAGTGCTGGAAATTGAAAGTGGTCAATTTTTGAAAAAAAATTGCCCACATATGTTCCCCTGCGATTGGTCACTATTAAAGGGCCGAGGCGTGATGGAGCTGATGATACATTTGGTTGTGCAAGGAGTGATGACTTGCATTTTTCAAATAAAATGGCTTATGATGTTCCCGCGAATCCGATTAATGAAAGGAAATATCCGGTTTGGAAAGCGATACACAGTTTCAAAGGGATTCAACGTGTGAAGAACTTCCTTTGGGTGATTTGTTGGGGTAAATCAGTGACGAATGCTGAGCGTGTTAAACGCAATTTCAGTGCCGATGGTAGTTGTCCGTTATGTGCCAGCCCAAGGGAAGACATTGATCATGTAGTGCGAAGGTGCCCAACGGCTTTCTCAATTTGGATGCATCTAATAAAAGCTGATAAGATTGCTGAATTTCTGTCCATGGACATAAGGAATTGGATCCGAGTCAATTTAGTTAACGTGAATTATTTTGCAAAGGAGACCAATGTTTGGGCTATATTCTTTGGAGCGTTACTTTGGAATATTTGGCGTTATCGAAATTTCATTGCCTTCAACAATCCTTTGGAGGATAATAGTGGACTTATCTGGAGGAATAGAGGCTTCAAAGACAGACTTATATGGCCTTAGAAAGAGGGAACAGAACCGCCATAAAGCAGGTTGGAACGACAATGGGAGGTTCAAGACGGAGCCCTCCACCGGATCTTTGGGCCAAGGTTAATACCGATGGTTCAAGGAAGGTTAGTACTGGGCTAACTTCGTGCGGGGGTGTGATCCGTGACCATGATGGAATTTGGGGTATAAGAAATTCCTTGGTATTTGGAAGCAGAACTGTGGGGAGTGTACGTGGGACTCCACTGCGCCTGGAATGAGGGGATAGGAAAAGTGATTGTTGAAACTGATAGCCTAAGTGCTATTCGCTTAATTTGTGAGCACCAGTCGAGGAGCAGATCCTTAACAATTATGGATCGTATTGATGAGTTAATTAATCGTGATTGGGAAGTCAAATTTCAGCACGTCATGAGACAAGGAAATCCTGTTGCGGACGGGTTAGCTAAAGGTGCAGGACCGAATATTGTTGGAACTCAGCAACCTCCTGCTGACATTTTGCATGAGGATATGGGTTAATAGCGCTGCTGTTCTTGGGTTTCTTGGTTAGCCGTTTTCGGTTGGCTTTGCAGTAGAGCTGGTTATACGGCTACCCGCCCGTTTAGCCCACGGTTTTGACGGTACGGACTTAAACGAAACGGTTTAAAAAGCCCGTAATCATAAACGGTCTTGACCCACGGCCCGTACCATTTAACCCACGGGCTAACAGGTTACCCGCGACCCGTTAAATAACAACAATTTTAAATTCTTTAAATGCAATAAAAATAATGTTCTAATTTACTACACCTTTAAAAATGATCCAACAATAAGTGTCAATAAGTCTCAAGATAAACATGTAAATAAATAACACCATAATACCATTAAGTCTCAATAAATCTAAAATAAATAACACCATAACACTATTAAATCTCAATAAGTCTAAAATAAATAACACCATAACACTAATAAGTCTCGATAAGTCTAAATAAAATTAACATCAATAATATTCAATGTTTTTTGAATCATTTGATGTAGTTGAATCTTCCATTTTTTTCAATCACCGGAGACTTGTCCACTTCATTTACAATATACGAAAAATCATAATATATTAGATAGTTTAAAATTTGAAATCAAAAATAAATTTATAAAGAAACAATTTTACTAAACATTAAGAATTGTAATATATACCTACAATCTCAAATTCTAACAACCATTTTTTTGGTACATATCAAAGATTGGACATTTGACGCATTCTTTTCTGAATATGATCAATATTACTAGTTAGCTCTTTCTTAGACACCATGGCATACACATGAAAGAGATAATTCAATTTCACAATATTCAATTTTATTTGACAAGAAATTAGATCAAGACCAAACTTTGAATATGCAAACTGCATCTTATAACGTGAATTGTCTTCGGTAAAATATAAAATAAATTAAAAAAAATAATTAAATTAAGCGGGCTACCCGCGGAGCCCGTGGACATACACATTAAACTCACGAGTTTAACGGTCCGGATTAAAAAACCCGCAATTTAAACGAGTTTTATTTCTTGAGGCCCGAAACCCGCACGAGCCACGGGTTATACGGATAGCACGCGGACTTTAACCTATATACCTATCTCTACTTTGTATACTTGGTTTTCTGTGTGTTTTGTTGCCTTGTATTATTATTAGGGTTGAGTAACGAAACCGATAAAATCAAAAAATCGACACGAATCGAGTAAACGGTTCGGTTCGGCATTATACGGTTCGGTTTTCTGTTCAGTTTAAAGTCTCAATTCTTTTGATTCGGTTCGGTTCGGGTTGGGTTTTCCATATGGAATTCATTTGTTCTATATTGAATCGAATAGGTAATTTTTTAAAAAAAAATTATAGTTGCAAGTGATTTTTTCATTGAAAAACCGATAAACCGAATCGAAAAACTCGAACCGTTAAAAAAGTCGAACCGAACCGAAAAAATCAGTTTCGGTTTTTTCGGTTTTTTAACCATTCGATTTCGGTTTAAATTTTAAAAAACCGTTTATTTCGGTTCGGTTCAATTTTTGGTAAAAAACTGAATCGAACCGAATACACCTCTAATTATTACATTGTGTAATCTTTCATTGGAAAGATTTTTAACGAGACACATGATAATAAATTCTTTTTATTATAAAAAGTTCTAACGAAAATAATGAAAAAGGGCAATAAAAGGCCCTTGGTTCAAGTGAAAATTGCAAAGCTGCCACATGTGTAATTGAACTAAGAACCTAACACCAAATAAGAACAAGGGTAAATTATGTACCTAGTCACTTAGTTATTCGTTTTAATTAATAATTTTTTAAAATTGTATATAAAATTACATTTTTATTTTGTTTTATTTTAATTTTATAAAGTTAAGTATTTATTTTATTCCGACCGTTTACGATTAAAAAATAAACAAAATTATTGATGATATATTTTTTTTGCTACATATAATTTTTGTTTTCAATAATGATTAACATTATCTTATGGTGACACTTCAATATCATTTTTAATTTTCTAATGCCAGATAACCAAAACTATGGGGGAGTAAAAGTCGACTCAAAAAAATATTTTTTTACTCAGTTTAGTTTGGCTTGAAAAAAATTTAAATTTGAGTTGAGTTATAAAATAAAACTAAAATAACTCATAATTTTTAATAATTAACATATTGATTTTTAACTTTGGGTAAAGTCCTTTAATTATGTATGATATATGTATATAACATATGAGAAAATATATATGTATATTGTATATGGTTATAGAAAATATTTTAAAATCGAATCAAAAGTATCATAACATTATCTTCACAATTAAATTTAAACGAAAATTCAAACAATTCGACCTGATGCAATCTAAATTTTATAAAATCGAATCAACTTAAAAAAATAATAAATAAAATTTGAGTTATAAAATACGACTCGTTAACTTAAATAAATTAAATTCTTTAACTCAATCGAATGTTAACTTCTTTTCAAAACATAATAAAAATATAACTTTGATATGGTTTAAAAAAAATTAATAATTGGATGAGTGAATACATAGTACCCTAAGAACAATGGAGACTTCGAGAGGCTGGTGTTTTTCTCTTATATATATACAGCTTTTATTAGCAGGAACCTTAACATCAACCAAAAATACTTCACCGGAATAAAAAATCAATGGCGTCCTCATACAAGAAATACGAGATCAGAAAGCGAGACCCAAACCCTAAAGCCGCCGCTTTATTAGTGATCGACCTGCAAAATTATTTTTCCTCCGTGGCAAACCCCATCCTCCCCAACGTCATCACCACCATCAACCTCTGCCGGCGGGCTTCGATCCCCGTTTTCTTCACTCGCCACAACCACAAGTCCCCCGCCGACTACGGCATGTTGGTGGAGTGGTGGAACAACGACCTCTTATTCGACGGAACCTTCGACGCTGAGCTGATCCCGGAGATCCAACGGCTGTCGAAACCCGACGAGGTGGTCGAGAAACACACGTACAGCGCGTTCGAGGACACGAGGCTGTACGGGTTGTTGGCGGAGAGAGGGGTGGAGGAGGTCATAATCGTAGGGGTCATGACCAACATGTGCTGCGAGACGACGGCGCGGGCGGCGTTCGTGAAAGGGTACAGGGTGTTTTTCTCGACGGACGCGACGGCGACGTCGGACCCGGAGCTGCACGATGCTACTTTGAAGAACATGGCCAACGCGTTCGCGTACCTCGTCGACTGCGAGAGGCTTCAGAATGGGATGAAATAGGTTTCGTTTACTATGGCCAAGAAATTGCTGATTACAGCTAGCAACTATCGATTTCATGGCCAATTCTGTGAAGCATCTGCATTCTTCTGATGTATGTGATTGAGTGGTCTAGAATAAACTGAGTTATAATAATAGTTCACCAATTATACAAGTTAATAACAGTCACACATAGACCTAGAAGTATTGTTTTTGTTTATTTTAATACTTAGTACCTCTGTTCAAAATTTTAGTCACACAAGCATCTGGATTCTTTGGGAAGATGGGGCTTTGGGTTTTCGAAGCTGGTGGGGATCGTGTTCGAGTCTTGATGCGAAGTTGTGAAGATATATGAAGGGCTCGAGTTAGCGCGGAAGACCGGTGCTCATCTGATTATCCTTGAAGCTGGTTGTAAGGATGTTGTTTCGGTCTGTCGGCAGGAGGGGGATGGGAACCGTTTTTCTCATATGATTTCACATGTGGAGGCGTTGCTCCGTCGGGATTGGATGGTGACTGTGTCTCATGTGTACAGGGAAGGGAATCGTGTCGCGGACGCACTGGTATAGTTTGCTCGTACTACTCCGTCTGGGTTGAATTACTTTGAGGGCCCGCCGATTGAAGTTGCAGATTTGGTATCTGCAGAGATGCGCAGTGCTGCTGTTTAATGTTCTATCTCCCATGTTCATCCAAAAAAAAAAAATCAAAATTACTCTTTTTTTTAACTAATGACTAAAATTAGACATGATAAAAAGCATAAGGACCACCCGTATGGTTTACCCTTCTATTATTTTTTCCGTAGATAGTCAAAAGCGTAGGGGATCATAACCTTTGTAATCCCAATATCCTATCCGGTATCTGATCTCGCCCAAATCCTTTTCCATTACTCTGCTTTCACCTTCACCTTCTCTCTCTCTCTCTCTTCCATTTCACTATCAAATTCTCGGGCATCCAATGGAGACTGCAGCTTCTCCTTTTGGCGGCGGCTTAGTCAACTTTTGCTGCGGTGGTGGCTCCGTCTCTGTTCTTGGCGTTCCCCTTCGAAACCTCAAGCTTCAATCCCTTCCCGGTTGGAAGAAAAAACAGGGTTTTGGGGTTATAAAAGCTTCTGTTGCTAAAACAGAAGTTGCACTTCTTAGAATAGGTACTAGAGGAAGGTACGTTTCTTTGCCCTTTTGATTTGTCCTGAGATTTGTTTCCTGGATTTATTGCTTGATAATGTGGATCGTTGGCGTCCTTGGTTGATGAACTCAGATGTATATGTGAAATCTAGCTCTGATTTTGCTGATTCTGTAAATGATCTAATTTGCTTTTTGCGTGTGTTTTATACATGCTTCTCCGGGGTGACCGAGATTTTATAACTCAAATTTTGTTTGAAATTTTCTTCCAGTTAAAATAGAATTGAGTTGTTCGAGATTTCTGTTTAAATTTAACGCACATATTTATATTATTACGATACTACTTGATTTTAATTTAATCAGTTTTTTACAACCATATAGTAAAATACACATGTATTTATTAATATTTTTTATATGTGATATATATATATTATAAAGAGTTAAATGACTCAAATCAAACTTTAAATGAGTCCACTAATTACTAAAAATTTCGAGTTATTCAAACTCTATTTTATAATTCGACTTAAATTTAATTTTTTTTCGAGTCGAGTCAAATTAAATTTTGTTCACCTCTAGCTTTTGCTTCCCTGAATCTCATTTGAACGTGTAAATGTAGGCTTGACTATGATTCATTCGATCAGACATTGATGTTTTTATTATCAATGAATATGAGTATGTTTAAGTTAATTTAAAATACAAAATTGATAGCTCGTCTTTCATTTAACTGAAATATATCGATTTAACATTACTACAATTCATGTTTTAGAAATTTTCAAAACAATTTAGAGGCTTCCTCAGTGAAGAAATGTACTTTTCTCACTTCTTTTGTTCTAATGGTTAACATCATTAAAAATAACACTTTTTATCCATGTGTTTCAAAATTGATCACGAGTCCTTCTCTTTGAATTTCATGTTTAGGACAGCCCATTAGCACTGGCGCAAGCTAACGAGACGCGTGACAAACTTATGGCTTCCCACCCGGAACTAGCCGAGGAAGGGGCTATCAAAATCGTTGTGATAAAAACAACCGGTGATAAAATATTGAGTCAGCCCCTGGCAGACATTGGTGGGAAGGGCTTGTTCACAAAAGAAATAGATGAGGCTTTGATAAATGGCGATATCGACATTGCCGTCCACTCGATGAAGGACGTTCCTACATATTTACCGGAAAAGACAATTCTACCTTGCAACCTTTTGCGTGAGGATGTTCGTGATGCATTTATTTGCCTGAGTGCATCTTCTTTGGCAGAGCTACCTGCAGGGAGTGTTGTCGGTACTGCTTCACTTAGAAGAAAGTCACAACTACTTAACAGATATCCGTTGCTCAAGGTAAGTTTCTTTGCTACTTCATGCATTATTATATTTGTAGAAGTCAAGAAGAATTAACAGTCGTTTACGAGGCACTTAAAATATCATTATTTCAGCTCTGATGAACATAGATTAAAGCTTACATAATTGCGTTATTATTTCCTAATTTCAAATTATATGTAATTTTCTATGCCATTTTGTAGGTGGAGGATAATTTCCGGGGTAATGTACAGACACGATTAAGAAAACTTTCCGAGGGGGCGGTTCAAGCAACTTTATTGGCATTAGCTGGACTCAGGCGCTTGAGCATGACAGAAAATGTTACTTCTATTCTTTCAATTGATGAAATGCTCCCAGCTGTTGCGCAAGGAGCTATTGGAATTGCATGCCGAAGCAATGATGAAAAGATGGTATGTTTTATTTTTACTTGATTTACGGCTGAGTTCAAATTTCTAACCATATGTAGAGAGGGGAGAGCCCCTTTTTAGGGTATGCTACCTATGTGGTCCTAAGTAGTCTTATCCCTATGCGGTGTTCGGGTAGGGTACCTTTCTGTGTGGGCTTGTGAGGGCGATGCACCCTCTGGTGCCTTCTCCAAGCCATGTTGTGGTGCTACACTACGCTGTTGCCGATCCTTGAGCCTTGAAACCCCCTCCTTAGCCTCAAGTACTTCTTGAGCTAGGTGCGGGTGCTAGGCACGATCGAATGCTATGTTGCGGCATGCCGTGCTCGTGATGTCTTTGAATTCAAGTTTTGCCATTGTTTTATGTCTTCCATTCCTGATGTAATGTTGACAAATTTTATTTGTATCATGTAAATCTATTTTGATCTCCTACCCAACTATTGATTTTGCCGGTTCCAATTCATAGGCTAATTACCTAGCTTCATTAAACCACGAAGAAACACGACTGGCAGTTGCATGTGAGAGGGCCTTTCTAGAGAAATTGGACGGGTCTTGCCGTACTCCAATCGCAGGCTATGCTTCCAAAGATGAAGATGGTAACTGCGTATTTAAAGGATTGGTAGCTTCTCCAGATGGAACAAGTGGTACGATCATCGCACCCGAACATTCCCGTAATTTCTAATCATCTTTTCCTCGCCTTTTAACTGTTGTTTCTTCTCCATATGTATTTATATTTCAGTGCTTGAAACATCTAGAAAAGGTGCATATGCTTATGAAGACATGGTTATGATGGGGAGGGATGCTGGCAAAGAACTTCTTTCTAGGGCAGGTCCAGGCTTTTTTGATTCTCGAGTAATTTAAGATTAAAATGGGCTAATTCTAGGGTTTAACTTCCAAGGCTTTGTGCCCTGAGCCTTTATTTGTTGTAGTTCTAGGGTTAGCTTCTATGGTTTTTCCTTTTTATGTTTTAGTTTATTGTATGATTAAATTTTGTTCATGTCATTTTTAATGGCTTATATGATGATAATGTCGGTAATGATATTAATTCTCATCTCTCTTCTAATAATAAGATTTTTTTTATTAATATGAGTTAAGTATAAAATAATATTTGTTTAAAGATAACTCTCAAACTTTTGACATTGAACACTCGCAGGGTCCTTAAGAATTAGAGTCTTTAAATACGCTTAAATCATTCGAACTAACACATCATGATAATTGTCTAAACTTGTCACAATTATATAATTATTTATTATGATTATATAGTTTCACTCGAATTTAATTATTTGATAATTTTCCAAATTAACTAAATATAGTTAAAACAGAGAAACAAGACACGTATATATTGCAGGTTTTATTTACACTGTCGGGTTGAATTTATATATATATATATATTAGGAAGCAGGCATTGTATGAAGAAAACAGACTCAGTCCAGACCCTGTGATTTTAAAAAGCTTGCCACTCCTTAAAGAAAAGGCAATTCGAACATGCATTCTATCAACCAGATGTGAAGGTGGTTTCACTTGCATGTCTTAATATACTAAGGCAGACTTTGCAACAGCACTTCTTCATCAAGAAGTGCAGTAGTAGCCACCAGAACAAGAATCTTTAGAACAGGAACGTTCGAGTCATCGGATGGACTGTTTCTTGAACTCCATGTAAACCAAGAGCTGTCCGATTTCCTCAACTTTGCTTCTTCTGCATTTCCGAATGATATATTTGGAATATAGGCTCTCATGTCTTTTTCAGCCAATGGGAAGTCATATGGGAAAACCATCACTTTCGGCACCGTTTCTTTTGTAGGATTATTTGCAAAATGGGCCACAGCTAAAGGGTTTCTACGCTCCAAAACTTCACCATCGCATCTCACCTGTGAGTTTTCCAAAGGCTCACCAACCATTTCTGTTTTGGTCCTCTTATCTTGCATTGTTGAGCCATCGAACATTTCACGTTTTTCACCCCCATGTCCCAAGGTTGGGCATCGATGACAGTCCTGTCAAATCTCGTGATCAAATATCTATTCTGTGCTCCAAGTCTTGTTGTGTATCCAGGAACATATTGATGATAAGCTGGAGAGTATATAACACCAGGGTATAAGGCAATTACAGCACCGACATTAGCTTCACCGTTCAAATATAATCCTTCAACCTCTGAGAGTTCAGCACGTTTTACTGGTCTTGTCTCGGGAACAGCTGCACTGAAACATAGTCAATAGTTAGGTCCGAGAAAGAAATTATCAGAGGCAGGTTCTTCCATTGATCTCTATTATGACTTGGGTAAGGTTGAAATTTGAGAGCAAAGGCATATATGACAAAAGTCAAACAACGGATCAGACATTCATATTCAACTACTTGTTGCTTATATTCGTTCTGTACAGATCGACTGACAAATTTTGCAACAAAATGAAGTTCGGTTAAAATGGCGGCATTTCATATTATCATATATAAAAGCAATTAATCTTCTCAAAATAGTTAAAGAAGATTGATGTTTAATCTATTTACTTTGCAGATATAGCAATTATCAAACAAAAAGGAAGAAACAAAACCTTATCTCAAAAGTACTAGAGAAAAGAAATGGTTCCTCTATGAATTTACACTCTTATCTCGTAACTCGACAACGGCCGCCAACCCAGAATCCGCACAACCACCGAATCTAGCAAAGAAGGTCCTAAAACTGGTTCACATTTTAAGTTCTGAAACCGATATTCATCACATTAAAGTTCCAATAAAATGAAATATAGACCATAAACAGTAAAAGGCCAATTTCCAATTTCTTGGACAAAGTAGTTTGATCACATGAAACATCCCATGGATGATACATAACTAAAAAAAACCAGAAATTTACTCACCACTACCGGGGAGAATAATGCCATCCATAGCAGCACAAAAGTTTTTATTTTGATCATGAACATTTTCCTGCACTTGCATCAGTTGGTCAGCAAAAGAGGCCTTACTAACCATGTCAATAATGTCCTCGGCATCGGCCTCTTTGGCATCTTTTCCCAAACGATTGTAACTACACATTGCACAAGCAATCAAAGATTCAATAAATCAGATGGAAAAAAAAAAGCAATGATAGTGAATGATATATCATCATCAACCTGGTATACATGAAGAGGAGGTTAATGTCATCTTCAAATTGGAGTTTCCTTCTATACTTAGCGAAAGTTGGTCTCTTTGCAAGGACTCTAACAGCCTGGAAAATCAATAGAGAAAATGCCTTTAGTTTCAAAAACCCCACCTTTGATTCACCATTACCCAATTTCACAAATGAAAAAACTTGAGGTTCTAAAGATAAGAGAAAATGAAAGATTGTTGAAAAAAAGGTACTTACATCTTGGAACTTGTTGAAAAGAGGGGTAGTTCTGCGGTGCGGCGCCTAAAAAATGGCTAATATACGGCGTGACCGGTTAAACAATTGACCGGTTAAAATTTATACCGGTTATGTTATATTATTTAACCGGAAATATTATAAAGTACAATAACATACTAGGTAGCGCTTATATAATGTAATAGGTAGCGCTTATATTTACCTATTTTATAAGTAATCCGGTATATTTATACCGATAGTATTGCAAATTTACCTATTACATTATATTATATTGAAAGTGTCCATACTTTTTATAAAAAGGATCGATACTTCTTTTAAAGTTATGTAATTTATGTTTTAATTTTTTTTAATAGTGTTTCATGTTTTCCACCTACAATATTAATTTAATAATTTCATTTGCACAAAAATTTATTTGATTTTTTGATATTTTATAAAATATTATTTAGAATTTTTAATTTAATAATATATAATCGTAACGTAAAAAATAAATCATTAGACGCCTATAATTACTAAATTAATATCTTAAAACTCACTCAAAAGATAACCTTAAATTAATGTTTTCCACAGTGAAAAAAGTATGGACACTTTTATAAAAAGGATAGACACTTTACAATATAACCACTACCTATTACATTATATAAACGATACCTATTACATTATAAGCGCTACCTATTACATCATATGTTTACCTATATTGAAAGTGTCCATACTTTTTATAAAAATGATCGATACTTTTTTTAAAAGTTATGTAATTTATGTTTCAATTTTTTAACAGTGTTTCATATTTCCACCTACAATATTAATTAATAATTTCATTTACACAAAAATTATTTGATTGTTTTGATATTTTATAAAATATATTTATAATTTAAATTTAACAACATTAACCAAAGATAATAAATATGTAATATATATGTTTATTGTTTTTAATTTAATAATAATATATACAACATCAAACACATTCCAAGCTATAAATTACAAGCTAAGGACACTTGAAGAAGCAAGAGAACAACTATCCAAGCAATCAAAAACGATAAAATCCCAACATGATAACAACTGAACATATCATATCAATGTTAAAACTCAAGTTGTAGATTTTGATTTCCTTTGCTTGGCATCATATGAGATTTTTGATTTCCTTTGCTTGGCACCATATGAGCTTTGGATTTTGATGAGCATCGGAAGTATTTCAGACTTATGATTTGGGTGGTACTCAGAAGCATTTCGGACTTATGATTTTAGTTGCTATTTTTTACCACCCAGATCATACGCCCGAAACGTTTCTGACGCTTTAAAGTTGACCAAAAAATACAATGGTCGGGATTTCCCTCGCGTTTAAACGTTGGAAAAAAAACAATGGAAATTAGGAATAATCAATGATAACATGCATATTGGCTTGGGCTAATATTATAGTGGAGCCGAAATATATATTGAAATTCAAACTCAAATTGAAATTTAAATTCAAACTCCAATTACATATGAAATGAATTTGAAATGCAGTGTTAAATTGAACATGAAAATTGCATAATTGATTCATACTGTTCAAGTAACATGCTTTATGAACCATCAAGCTAAAAGACAATATTGATTGAGTTCAAAGCTGAGTTGTGAGTTGATGGAGTTGTCACACTTGTCACATGGTTGGAATAAAGTAATTTGATTTAATAATTTTATTTGCACAAAAATTATTTGATTGTTTTGATATTTTATAAAATAATATTTAGAATTTGTAATTTAATAATAATATATCGTAACGTAAAAAATAAATCATTAGACACCTATAATTACTAAATTAATATCTTAAAACTCACTCAAAAGATAACCTTAAATTAATGTTTTCCACAGTGAAAAAAGTATGGACACTTTATAAAAAGGATAGATACTTTACAATATAACCACTACCTATTACATTATATAAACGATACCTATTACATTATATAAGCGCTACCTATTACATCATATGTTTACCTATTATATTGAAAGTGTCCATACTTTTTATAAAAAGGATCGATACTTTTTTTAAAAGTTATGTAATTTATGTTTCAATTTTTTTAACAGTGTTTCATGTTTTCCACCTACAATATTAATTTAATAATTTTATTTACACTAAAAATTATTTGATTGTTTTGATATTTTATAAAATAATATTTAATTTAAATTTAACAACATTAACCAAAGATAATAATAAATATATAATATATATGTTTATTGTTTTTAATTTAATAATAATATATACCGTAACATAAAAAATATATAATATATATGTTTATTGTTTTTAATTTAATAATAATATATACCGTAACATAAAAAATAAATCATTAGACGCCTATAATTACTAAATTAATATCTTAAAACTCACTCAAAAGATGTATATACCTAAATATGTAGTTAACAAACATACCTAAATATGTAGTTATTGTACATACCTAATTAATGATAATATATACTTGTAGTTATTGTACATACCTAAATATGTACTGCGAATTTAATGGTGTACCCACCCTTTAACTACCACTACCAATGCCACATCCTATTGAAAGCAGCACGAT